TGACTGACATCATGGAGCTGCTTGAACTCTGCATGGAAACATACCTACACTTTGACGGGAGGATATATTGACAGGTGAAAAGAACTCCAATGGGATCACCAATATCCGGCCTACTAGCTGATGCGGTGATGAAACAATTCGAAACCAAGGCGTTTGCAGAATACCGCCCTCGCCTCTGGGTTCGATATATGAACTACACCCTTGTGGTGCTACCGGCAGAAAGAATCGAATAATTCCATGATACTCTAAACAAGGTTATGACAGGGATAACGTTTCCCCGCGAGGAGGAAAACTACATGAAACCCCCTTTCTTAGACGTCCTCGTCATAAGAAAACCAAATAGAAACACAGAAATCACTGTGTACAGAAAACCTACAACGAAAGACCAGGTGCTGAACTACGACAGCACTCACCCCATGTGTCACCTTAGGAGCTGTGTATACACTTTATTCCGCCGTGCAGACACACATTACAGCACAAAGGAACTTCGGCATCAGGAACGAATGCATCTGTTCCATCAATTCCGCACAAATGGATACCCCAAAAGTTTCGTCTAACCAGGCCTTAGGGGAAGAAGGAAACCCGAAGGGTGAAGAGAAGAAAACGAAACTCTAATTACCATACATACGTGGAGTATCAGAAGCCGTTGATCGCATCCTTCGCCCTCTGGGTGTCACCATTGCCCACAAACCTACAACAACGCTGCGGTCAATCTTGTTCAACGGCAAGGACTATGTAAAACCACACGACCAATCAGGGGTAGTGTACGGGATTCCATGCCTAGACCGCGACCACCGTTACGTGGGAGAGACAGGCAAACAACTGTGCACTCGCCTACACGAACGCACACTTGCACTACAATACGCCGACCCGAAGTCACACCTCTAGAACCACTGCGCAACGACAGGTCACGAGGTCAGAATCAATGACGCAAAAGTAGTGGCTAGGGCAAAGAGGAAGGAGGAACGTCTGATCCTTGAAGCGCTGCTTTCGACTAACTCATTGAATCGACACATGGAGATAAACATTACGCAACGATTGTACAACCAATGATGAACGCGGGATTGATGGACAAACAGGCGCGATGCAAACCACAGTGCGAGGCACAAGCAGACCCAATTCATACACACGTATCATCGTTTGACAACGAGTCCTAGTCTGGATCGAAACGTCACAATAAGTACTATCACTCAGTGCTCGCCTCTCCTTTTCAATATATATATATATATATATATATACATATATATATACTGTTATAATTATACATTCTAAATAAGATGGATTTTCTTGAGGAAGTCACATGCGGATCTTTGGTTCAACGAAGACTGACCCGCAAGACAGCGGGCGGTGCGAAAACCACAGTCCGGTGGGGGTTCGGTATCTCGTTCATCGGATCATACGCCCTCTGAGCTGGGCGAACGTCCAAGATGTCCAATCGAGCCGGTGACCACTGCCACAAGCATCATCATCATCGTACAGCGAAATACAGTGAAGCAAACTTCACTGACCGCTGCCAAACTCACAATGCATATAAGGTTAGTGGTAAAATTTAAGTTAGACAGGTGTTAGATCTATTTTGAGGGAGGGAGAAGAAGATGAGCCACTATGGTCAACACAAATAAGCAATCGAACTATGCATACATACCGTTTCAATCATTCTGACCTGATAAAAAACGACAACAAGAACGCCACTGCTGCCGGTCCGCTGCCATATCCTTCAATGTCTCCGACCAGCCAGTTGTGGAGTATTTCGGACCCAACCCGGAAGGCGAGAGACATCTACTCTACCTAATGACTCTGTGCATTTCTTCATGCCTCCTCTCCGCGTCATCTGTTGACCTCCACGTGGTTTCCTCCAGCCCGGATTCACTACAGCGAATAAAGCGCGGTGCGGCAGACGACAACTGGGCATACGCAATACGTGTCCCAGCCAGCGAAGCCTAGTAATCTGAATTGGGTATGCTAGCAGGTTTATACCTGACAGACTCCCAAAGACACGACGGCGCACCACGTTACTAACCCGTTCGCTCCATCCAGCATGGGCTAAACTATGTAAACACTGATAGTCAAAAACTTCTAGTCGATGGATATCTTCTACTCGCAAATTCAGGGTCTCACAACCATAAAGCAGAACTGAACGAACGGTGGCACAATATACACGACCTCTAAACTTCAGTGTAACGTCGCTTCTACACCAAAGGTGTTTCAGTCCTGCGTATGCTGCTCGAGCATTGGAAATGCGGGCGGTTATTTCCTTTGTTGCACTATCGTCATTGGTCACGCAACTACCTAATTAGGAAAAATAGTCCACCACAATCAAATCCTGACCATTTAGTATTAGAGTGGGAGTAGACGAAACCCAGTCCTGCAGCAGCACTTGGCACTTTGGCGGTGCAAAGCACATACCGAATGTGGCAACTATACTTGTTAATCTATCAAGTGCACTTTGCGCGTCCTCCATACATTCGAACAGACAGACGATATCATCGGCGTACTCCAAATCGCATAGCTTTTCTCCAGCTGTCCATCCAATGCCTACGTTTTGGAGTCCCCTTAGTGCACTCTCCAGTGTTTCGTCTACGACGAAATTGAGCAGGAACGGCGAAAGAGGGCACCCTTGACGAACACCCTTGCTGATGACGAACAGCGTATTTAGTTCGTTGTAGACCCTTACACGACCGGAGGTATGTGAGTACAGTGACCTCAGTAGGTTAACGTACTTCTGGGGCATTCCTTTTCGAAGAAGACAGCCCATCAGAGCTTCGTGGTCAACTGAGTCGAAGGCTCCTTTCAGGTCAA